GAAATGCTATATTTGTCACCTGAGTATATATAAATACATTATGTCATGACAACAAGTTTCTGCTACTTGAGTCACTTTAAAGGAAAGATTTTATGTCGTTGAAACTTGTATTGAACAACTATTTATGGTTCTTTTAAAAGCTTTAAGTAAATTTGACAAGTTATACAAGATTCAGTTTTGGTTGAACAAGAATTCCTTATTTTAACAACAACCATTATAGCACTTGTAGAAAAGAAAAAAAAGATGCCACACGAACAACAGCAACAATAAAAACAAAATAAACCAGTTATACTGTGCTGAAAACTTATGAACTGATTTAAAAATAAGTAGTCAAAATCAAGATTTATCCTAACTTTATGTTTTTTATTGAACTTACTAATGGTTTTTCTTTGGATTACATTTATTTTTGAAATGAAAAAAATCACCTCCACTTCACTGAATTTCTACTAAAAAATTTTAATTAAAAAAGTTAAATTGTAAGTAAAAATACAGTGAAGTGTAAGTAGAAATACAGTGAAGTGTTAGTAGAAATACAGTGAAATAAAAATAATAATAGTGTAAATAGTGTTGGTATCAATTGTGTATAGTTAGTACTACTGTGGTTTAGGGGTTCCACTTTAATTCGCAGTTACAACTTTTTAGAAAATCATTTTTAAACATTTTGGAGCTCACAATAAAGTGATGTCATGTGATGTCACAATGCTTTCAAATAAAGTGATGTAAATGTCTAATTTTGAAAATAAACTTTTTAAGTTGCATTTTAATTTTAGTATGTTTGACTGTTTGATATATTAATTCACTTTTCTATGAAAAATTCAAATTAAAATACAGTTAATTCCCAATAATTCGAACCTTCAAGGGACCAAGGCAAATATATGAGATATTAGTTCGAGCTAAGGTGATTTTTCTTTATTCATCGCTAAAGTATTTTTATTAAATATACACTGTTATACTAATAAAAGAGTAAAAAATGTTTCAGAAAAAGAAATTACATTAATGCATGGTGGCCACAGTCCTGGAATGTCCTGGAATGTCCTGGATTTTTGCAAGTGGGTTGTGTCCCACTTATTCAACCCACTTAAAATTAAATTCAACCCTAAGTGGGTTGAATTTAATTTTAAGTGGGTTCCTGCAGAAAGAAGAGAGTAATAATAATATAATAATATTTTAATAATATAATATTACGAAAAATTCAATCAATACAAAAATATAACATAAAGATAATTGATAATATTCATTTAATAAGATATAAAATGTCCTGGAAAACGCAACAAAATGTCCTGGAATTTAACTTTTAAAATTTTGTGGCCACCATGTAATGTATCTTACATAATGTGCTCACTCTGTACACTCAAAAAATAACATTAAAAAAAGTTTAGCAATACAATGACTTGTTATTTGGCAATAAAATTGCTTAATAAAAAAAATTTAATCACGTTATTTTGGTTTCTTCATTTCCCATACAAAAAGTTCTATTTAAACAATGGAATTTGTTGTAATGAGATAAAAAAATGGTTTGACTTAACAAAGTTTGCGTTATCAGAGGTTTGACTTAACCAGAGAAATTTAATAGCAAATTTTAATAGCTTATTTTTAATCAATTAGAGTATTTCAATCTCTTGATAAAAACAGTTCAAGATAACAAATGTTTGAGTTAACTGTTTTACGACTGGAAATTATTTAAAAATATATATATATATATATATATATATATATATATATATATATATATATATATATATATATATATATATATATATAGAGAGAGAGAGAGAGAGAGAGAGAGAGAATTTGTCTATATATGCCAGAATGAATTTACCTGGTACATTACTTTCTTAAGTCAATAAATGATTAGCTTTATGTATAATATCTGTTTGGGAAAAAAACTGGCAACCAACAATTGAGTGTTTTTATCAAACTATTCAAGTTAGTAAATGCTAAGCTAGTATCATAATAGTAATTAGGCTGCATTAAGACTTCAAAATATAAATATTTAAATGAAAATTAGGATTTTTGGCTTTATGGAAAAGGATTAAAAAATGGTATAAATGGAATCTATATAGTGGTTTCCTTTTTAAATTTTTACATGAAGACAACAACAAATGATTATTATCATTTAAAAAAGGCACAAAAAATGCAAAATAAAAGATCATAGATTTTCTACTAAAAAATTTCAAAATCACAAAATTGTCACAAAACAGACAAATCCAACTTTGTTCCAGATAATAGACCCACTGAAATATACATCAAATATACATGCATGTTATGCTAGGTATATCAATATACATGTATTGACATATGTCAATGTCTTTTAAAGGACAAGAAAAAGAATATACTTACAATATCTCAGAGGAAACAAAACTTTGAAGACAATAAGATTTAAAAAAAAATTATTTAAAAATATGTCAACTTGGTACTCAAAAGAAGCAAAATTTTATAAAAATTTTCAAAATTAGATTCATTTTTTATAAAAAACAACTTAAAAAAACTTATTATTAAAAATGTTGTGATAATTACCTTTTTTTCATTTTTCGTTTAAAAACCATAGTTTTTATTCAAAAAAACCTAATATTGTTATTTTTATAAAAAATACTTTTTGTTTTTGAAATTTTTAAATGATTTTGCTTCTTTTGAGTACCAAGTTGACATATTTTTAAATAATTTTTTTTTCAATAATATTAGGGACCTGTCAAATGTTTAGGGGCTTTGAGGGACCTTCAGGGCAAATAATAAAATTTAGTAAAAAATATTTTTGAACCACCATATGATAGTTGAATGGGAAAAACTTCAATTAGCTATGTTCTGAAAACAAATTAGCATACTGAACAGCCCTAATATATATGAGAATAAGTAGATATTTATTTATTAATTATATGATTGCTTCTCAAGGGTTAGAACTTTTGATGTATCACAGAAAACAAATTCTGTTATAAAAAAAAAAATCTACAGAATTTTTGTAAATTTTAGTTGCAGAAATTTTATAGAATTAGTTGCTATAAATGTAAATACAGGTATTAGCAATGAAATCATTTGAAAAATTTAAATAAAAATAAAAGAAATATCGTAACTCTAAGTAATGTCAACTTGTTTTTAAAATTATATATTTTTTTATTTATATTTTAATTATATAATTTCTTGTTATTTGTTTCGCATTTTGATGTTCAGTGCCCTTACAAGCTTTGTTTGAGGCTTAACATAATTTTCTCCCTCATTTCTACTTAATTGTGGTTACAACTCTCTCTCAACTCTATAACTCCAAAACATAATCCTTGATGAACAAGTTGAAATAAATTAGCCTACAAGTTATTGAAAACTGTAAAACTGTGTATACAAGACTTGATTATATAGATATTTACAGTATAGATATTATAGATATTTACAGTATTGAAATAATAATTAAACTGTTGCTTATATGTTTACTCATTTTCTAAATCATTATATAATTTATATAACCGTTGATAAAATTTATAGAATCAGCCAAATTCGGAGGTGAAATAGGAAAACCATTAATTGTTATAATATATTACAACAAATAGTTATTCATTCTTTAATTATTATAATATAATATTATTTATTATATCCAGCTGTCATGATACGGGTCTTGGTAAATCTATTCCACACCAACCTTTTCTATACTTATTCCTTACTTCAATATTTTTAGTAAGAAAAATAACTATATACATATAGAAAAACTATACATATTGATTACTTTTTAAAACTATAAAAAAAATCTATTATAATTAACTTTAATTAACTTTAAATGTTTCGGTAGGCATCGCGCGAATCCCTATTTACCAATGGATTGGATATTAGTACCAGTCTAAATAATATTTAGAATACCCGCTTGAAATGTGTTAATTAATTACCATCTGTATAAAAAGTTTCAAAAAACATGAGATGACTTAAATATGTGAAGAACTACATGTGAGACTTACCATAACATATATAATACTGGTCATGGAAAGTCTGTTCCACACCATTTTAATAATTTTGCTTTATTTCAATAGTTTTAAAAAAAGAGCAAATTATAGAAATCTTTGTTTTGAGTAAATTAACGTTTTAAATTTTATAACTTCTGTAAACTTCTACTTTAAAAAAAAAACAGGATGAACCTTATTATTTTTTTATTTAATAAGTTTATTAATTTTTTTTTAAACCATCTGCAGCTTATTAGAACTCTTTCATTTAAACTTATTAGGAAGCTTTTTAATGTTTTTAGAAATTTTAAAAAGCTTTTTAAAATATTCTGATTTTGAAAATGTAAGGTCACTGCTTGGCAGGTTCAAATCATCAGTTGTTTTTATTTTTTTTATTTTTGTTATTTAAAATGCAAAACCAAACAATTTTATAGTTTGTTGTATTCTAAATATATATACATTGTAAATACCCAGCAAACTAAACTTATTTGTAGAAAACTTGAAAAGTAAAACTGTAAACCTTTAAGAAACTTTACTTTTTCCATATCTTAAAATTTACATGAGTTAGATATTAGCATAGAATGATTTAGATATATTTGCATAGATGAGTTAGATATTGCATAGGTTTTGAATATTACTTAGATATTAGCATAATATCTTTCGTTTGATAGACTTTGGTTCAAATTTTCTTAAAAAAAAGTGTTAAGAGACTCTTTCTTGCTGTTATCTTGGATTCAATGGCTGTTGCGGATTTCGTGGAAACACGCATGAATAAGTATTAATACTGCTACTCAAGTTAAGAAATAATATATAGTGATTATTCATTGTTTAACTTATACCATAAAAATTTAGGCCAATCAGGAGATTAGTTGCACCATTAGCTTGGAATCAGTTTTAAAAAATTTGCTAACCTCATGTATATTTGGTTTTCTAATTATTCAATATGTAGGTTTTTTTTTATAAGTTTTGCTCTTTTTTTTATAAAAAAAAGAGCAAAACTTAAAACAAATGTATAATTTTACTGCAGGGTTATGTTATGATTTCACAAAAAAAGTTATTAATTTGCAGTATTATATTACACAGGTGTTGCAGTTGGTATCCTGCTTGTATTTAGAAAATTTACACAATCAACAATGCAATGTTCCAATACAGCCTATTAGGTACACTTATTAGGTATTTTTTACTTAGATTAGTATTAAATAGAAAAATTATTTAAAAATTAAATATTTACATACATACTGTATACATTTACAAGATATATATATATATATATATATATATATATATATATATATATATATATATATATATATGTATATATATATATATATATATATATATATATATATATATATATATGTGTGTATGTATGTATGTATGTATGTATGTATGTATGTATGTATGTATGTATGTATGTATGTAGGTATATATATATATATATATATATATATATATATATATATATATATATATGTGTGTATGTATGTATGTATGTATGTATGTATGTATGTATGTAGGTATATATATATATATATATATATATATATATATATATATATATATATATATATATATATATATATATATATATATATATATATATATATATATATATATATATATATAACTTGTAAATATATTTATAGCTACAATTCAATTGGCTTTTAATATGGCGGCTGAGAAGACCATTTTATATATAGTTGTTGTTTTTCTTTGGCTTTAATACAAATTTTGCATAATTTAAAAATGTGTTTAGGATTGCTATCCTGTTAAAAAACGAATTTGTGATCCACAGTTCATTCATTTTCTAAATGGAAATGAAAGGTTTTGGAGAATGTTATGTTGTTATACTTTTTTTTCAATGATGCCCTCAATTCGCATAAGGTTAACAACTTTGTTTTCAGTAAATCCCCAATGACTGATCCTCTACCATGCTTGATGGTTTTCATTATGCATCATTTTATTTTCTCTAATTAAACAATGAACAGATAATTAGTCTTCATGTTTTAACATTGCTTCCCAGACCTTCCAGAACAATGATAATTCTGATTACAGCTAGTTTCACTTTTTCTTTGATGTAATTTGCATTTAAGAAACATTAGTTTTAAAAGCAAGTTTTTATGTTGAACTTTCCTTGTGTAACGTCACAATAGCAGCTTGTTTTTCTATACTCAGCTCTGCTATTCAACCCCTTTTTTTTTAATCAAAACACAAAATGTATGATTTCATTATTTGAACAATTTTCTTTAAATTATTACAATGAGCATGTAAATTATTTTTTAAACATTACAATATTTATATTTATAATTTCTGTTTATATTATATTTAACATAATGTTTCAGTTACCTTTAATAAAAAAAACATAATAATAAAAATTCTTTTTAACATCCTTTTATAAAAAAGCTGTGAAAACAGTGAGAAAAAAACTTAAATTTATATTACAATAAAATATACAGGGTTCCCACTCCTCCTTAAAAACCTTAAACATCCTTTAAAAAAAAAAAAAAACTCCTTAAAAGTTCTTAAATAACCTTAAAAATTTAAAATTTGATTGCTCTCCTTAATTTCTCCTTATTTTCTATTTTTTTATCATCTAGGAAATTTTATTAAAGCAAATAGATTATACTTATTTATAGAGAAGCATATAGTTATATATTGTTATATATATATATATATGTGTGTGTGTGTGTGTGTGTGTGTGTGTGTGTGTGTATATATATATATATTTATATGTATTGGTGCTTGCATATATTTTCGTGAGAGTGCTCAATGAATTAAAGTATATTTAAAATTACAAAATTAGCAACTTAAGAAGTGAAAAGACATCTTTTTAGTTTCTATATATGGTAGGCTTCCTAATATTTAGAAATTTGCTGATAACATATGATTCAGTAAAAAATAATGAACTCCTATAAATGGCTCCGGGTAAAACTTTAAAAATTGTGCCTTTCCTTTAAACCATTGGTAATCTAGGATCAACACTGATTTTCATAATATTTTTTTTTTTACTGGTTTAACAGACTTTATTAAAGTGATTTCAGAAAAAAAATTAGTGGGTACTCATGGGGAAGTGACTAAGTCAGAGCAATAAAGTTGGCACAAAATACATTAAATGATAAAAATATAGGTATTGATGTACTTTAGTTTTTATTATCTACTGCAATGCAAAAATTATATATGTATAAAAGTATCATAATCATGACCAAAAATAAGACTGAGAATTAAACTCAGTTTTAGAATAGCCTTAGTTGCCTCCCCTCCTCCCTGTTCATTTACTTTTTAGCATGCATATTTTTGCACAGAACCTTAATCTTAAAAGAAATTTGTTATTGAAGGTTTCACTGATTTTTTTTCAAATGCATAAAGTGTCTTTATGCGCAAAACAAGAATTGAACATACACATTTAAAAGCTGTGAAATGATAAATAAGTTGTTGGATGTACTTTTTATCTTTATTTTATATGGAAACTTTACTTTACACTTCAAAAATTGAAACTAAATAAATTCTTTTAGATAATAATTTAAAATAAATGGCTAGTGCATCTTTAGATCCAACTCAATGTTGCATTGGAAAAACATTAAATCAAGATTGTCACGAAGGAAAATTTACCAAATTTAATAAAATTAAATGTTTTGAGTTTAATTGAGTTTAATTGTGGAATTAACCAAAAATGATCAAGATCTTGTGCACTTACGATATATATAAAATACATTATATATATAAATAAATTATATAAAAACTATTTTAGTTAAGTTAGTTAATAAAAACTATTTGTTATCGCCATGAAAAGATCTTCTTAAATTGATTTGAGTCTTCGTACGATGGAAGCTTTTGTTGTTATCCATTTAACAAACACAAAACTAAAATAAAAAGTATTTAAAGATAACTTGACTTTATCAATCTTATTTAATGTTTTATCAGAATCTGTCAGAGTAATTAGTGTTGCTGAACTGTACAGAATGTCGTAAAATATTGTATTTAAAAAATAACAAAAAAGATTATGAAAGCAATTTATGTAAAAATAAAGACAATGATTTTAATGAGAATCATACTTCAAAAGAAAACTTTAATTTAAGCATTAATAGCCTTGGTTGTTCCCCTCTAAAAATAGTAACCCATAAAGACAGTGTCAGTTATGCAAAAAGAAAGATGAACAAGATCCATACTGCCACCAAAAAAAAAATCTGTTTAAGAAGTTCTCCAGATTTGATAAATGATGAACCAAAAACAAAAGAGCGACATATTCCACAGTAAACAAGACTTGGACTTACTAATGGAATTAACTAAAACAAAGTTGGATATTTCTTCAAAATCAGAAAAAACTTAAATTACTAACTTTGGTTCCTGAGAGTTGGAACATTGACTATACACAGAACTGAAAATTACAGTTTTATAATTCAAGATGCAGTACAAAGTTTCCATTGAATCAACAGCCAAGCAACATTGCATCTTTTTGTTATTTACTTTATGGAAGAAAATAACCTGGATTTGGTAAATAAGGGCAAAATAACAGCTTTGAACATTTAAGTGCACGAACAAATGAAGTTTTAGTTCCTTTAAAGTTAAAGTTTTTTGAAGAAATTTGTGGCAGTCTAAATAAATTCCTTGGTACATAATATTTGATCCAGATGCAATTTTATTGCTCTTTGTGTAATATATTTTGTTTTATACAAAAGATATTCTTTTCATAATTTTTTTTAAAATTTTTAGAAAAAATCACAAGAAGTTATTTTTAATCTTGCTATTTCTTCTAGTTTCTTTTCAAACTGATGAAAAAACTGATTTTCTTTCAAACTGATCCTTTTCTGGTGGTGACACTTGAAAAACTACTACACAACTTTTATGCGAAGTTCATTCAATTAGATGTTCTTTTAAATGCCAAAACTACAACATTTTTGTTAAAAATAGGTTTGTTTAATTTTGCAAACCAGCTTTCAACTAGCCAAATTGATGTTGGTTTTTCATTGAAGTATGATCTCCAGTAACTTAAGAGTAAGGGAAAGATTACTGATGTTCAAATTGACAAAAGGAAATATGTGATTTTCTTGTCTCAATGTGTACTCATATTATTGAGAAAAGCCCTTTGTCTTTCTGGTTGCTCGCTGTCTGGTGTGTATTTCCCCATCATTTTTGGTTGAATATCCAGAAAAGCGTGATTATTTTTTTGACAAACTGTTGGTGAAGTTTGTTACTTTCAAGAAAATTAGAGCTTCTGTTGGTGATTTAGCTAAGAAAGAATATTTCTTTGTTCTCTTTGTTATCAACAACCACATTTTTACAGGTTCTGTAAAAATGTGGTCGTTTATAACAAAGAAGTATTTTTGACTTTTGATAAAAATAAGGATCGATTGGACTACTTTTTGTGGAAATACACTGATTTAAAGATATATGCAAATCTACAGCACATTTTCAAATTTGTCCTCATTTTATTGCACGGACAAGCTCAAGTTGAATGAGGATTTAGCAGCAATAAAAATCTGATGACAATATGTCCCCATATTTAGTTTGGGATCCCTTTAATGCAGCTTTGATTTGGTTTCTTTTTTTTTCTTTTTTTTTTTTTCAAATCAAAGCTGCATTAAAATCCAATCAAAATAAGGGAAAAACCTATTGTTTAATTGGGTTCCTCCCTTCATTTAAACCATGCATGTGGACAGTAATAGCTAATAAACTTAGTTATAAACTTCTTTTAATAAGGGATTTTTGATAGGGATTAAAAACAAGCCTAGTAAGACATTAATTGCTCTGCTGTTTCACCTTGCTGAATGAGAACATTGCAGTTTTGTTTACAGCTCCAGTTTTTGTAAAATATTGGCATCCAAGTAATGCTTACTGGCAATGCATAATTTGGAAAAAGAAACATTAAAATGTATGTACAATGCGTATATCCAGAATATTGTATCTTTATAATATCACGTATCTGCGCTACAGATATTTTTACAGGAGAAAGTTAAAATATTTTTTTTATTTAAACAGATTTTGAGCTCATTTTGGCATAGAGAGTTTTATGTTTTTTGTAATGTTAACAATAGGTATTAGGTGTTAAAATTGTTAATTTATTAACATTAATTGAATATATTTGTCAGATTATGTATTATCCATCGCTAGTTACATGAATTTTCACTATCCCTAACGATATTATGATTTGACAATATTTGTATCCATCCAAACTGTGGATAAAGAGATTTATTTTCCAGTAAATCAATCAATGAATGCTCTTCAACATTTTTGAAACTAATATAAAAAAATTTTGTGAATACTTTTTTAAGAAAAAATCTATCAAATCAATTTTAAAAAGTTCATTCTCCTTGGATGAACAACAACCTTCCATACTAAAATTGAAACTAAAAACAAAGTTTGGTATGCTTAAATATCTTAGTTAAAAAATGATAATCACTTCACAAAAAATCGATCGAGCGCTTATTAATAAGCGCTCGATCGCACGTCGTTCCTGTCCAAGCCTGATATATATACATATAAATTATATATATATATATATATATATATATATATATATATATATATATATATATATATATATATATATGTATATATATATATTTTATATATATGTATATATATATATATATATATATATATATATTTTATATACCTAATACCTGATATATATACATATAAATTTTATATATATATATATATATATATATATATATATATATATATATATATATATATATATATATATATATATATATATATATATATATATATATATTATATATATGTATATATATATATATATTTTATATGTATATATATTAATTAGGGGTGCACCAATGCCTATTTTTGGGCCATGCTGATGCCTATGGGTACAGGCCGATACCGATGCTTCGACATCATGCCTTATATGGGATATATAAAGGAAATATACACTTGAATGGAAACGCCTCATTCCATTCATATATATATATCAATGAAAGCAACATTGTTACTGTTAAAGATTATTTTCCATTTATTTTTTTATTGTTCTCTTCATAATTAATGCAGTTACTTCAATTGAAAAGCTCATTTTATAATATTTACTTAATCATTCTGTTCGAATTCGTTTATTCTGGACGTTTTCGTTTTTTATAAAGAATAAATGGAATGAATGGACCATTTTGTTTTTTATAAAGAATGAATGGAATTATATCGTTACTTCTAATAATTTGCAAGTTTTTATTAAATTTTTATTTATTTAAGGCTTTTAATTTAATAATAAACTTTTTTATTATATTTAATTTTAATATAAATGTAATGAACCATTTTGATTGAACCATTTTCATTGTTTTTATCTTAAGAATAACAAAAAAAATTTTTTAAAAAACTAAACAAACTTTAAAGCAGTTTTCTCTTCTGTACTTCTTTCTATACTTGGGGAAATATTTGTGAATCGACACGGTCCCAATTAACTACAGAACATGGAGAACATCTAGCTTTTGTGCATGCGAATTGAAAATTTTTTTGGAGAAATGGAAACAAAAAAATAAATTCATAGTTTTATATAACATATTTTATTACTTTTCATAATATAAAAATTTATATTTATTTTTAACATGATACAAGTTGTTCTGTTATGTTTTAAATATGTTATACTTCATGTTTATATTTTTTAATGTGCATTTCTTGTTTTTAAACTTCTTTGTAAAGTTTCGTATCCATAAGTTATATAGTTAATGTACTAAATTATAAGAAAACACTAAAAATGTATGGAGCCCTGTTAAAAGCAGTTCAAAAATTTTTAGTTTAGTGGTTGCATATATGCCTATATAATAACTGGTTATTAATAAGTTAGGCTTATACATTGTATTTATGTTTATGGTGTAATTCTGTTTGGATATAATATAGAAACACAGAAATAAAAACAAAAGATTAAAAACTTTTCAAAACATTTGGCATCGGCCGATGGTTATCAAAGCCGATGCTAAATGCATCCGTGTGTGTGTGTGTATATATATATATATATATATATATATATATATATATATATATATATATATATATATATATATATATATATATATATATATATATATATATATATATATATATATATATATGTATATATATATATATATATATATATATATATATATATATATATATATATATATATATATATATATATATGTATATATATATATATATATATATATATATATATATATATATATATATATATATATATATATATATATATATATATATGTATATATACATATATATTTGTTGTGTGTGTTTGTAAAGTTGTTATCAAATATTATTAATAAATATTAAAGTTGGTTGATACAGGTTGATATAATCTTATCATCTTTTAAATTTAGTTGAAACTTTCAAAATTGTCAATTATCATTTTTGTCAATTATTATGTATAAAAATAATCTACAACTTAATCTTGGAATTAGTTTGAATATTACTATGTTTTAAAAATAAAACACAAATTTTTTACCTATTTATTGATTTTTCTTTTTAACAATTTTTACCTATTTATTGATTTTTCTTTTTATTGTCAATTTCTTTTTAGCATTGTAAAAGAACATATTATCAATGGAATTTCGTATGTTAAAGTTGAATGGAAAAAAGATTCATCTATTTGCATTAATGTTAATTTGGATAGAAAATGCACTGAATGTGGTTCTGATTGGAATAATTATCCTGATTCATTTTTTACTGTTGAAAATAAATCGGTTTGTTATTTTTATTGCATACTGATAGTTTTCTATTTTTCAATTTTATTAACTTTTTTTTATGGAAAGAAATTGTTCAAATGTTGCATGACAATATTTTTCCTGATAAACAGATTCCATTTATTAAAAAAATGGATTCAATAAAAAGTTCTTTTGTTCAATAAACGACCAGTTTAAATGGAAAAAAAATACAAATTATTTCTACTTATTATTTTGTAACAAATTATTTATATTGAACTGTGTAAAAAAGTTGCACATTTCTGAAAAAATTGATTTGCTTTTATCAAGTTTTCCAATTGCAGGCTTTCCGAAATTTTTTCTTTCTTGTAAAAAAATAGACAATCATTAATTGCTATAAATAAAAAATGATACTGCTGTAAAATGACAGAGATGTGGTTGCTTGTATTAGAACCTGCAAAAAGAATTATGATTGATTATATTTCAATCAATTGCAATAATATTTTTTACTTAACATTTTACTTAACATTTACTTAACATTTACAGCAACATTGAATAAACCCCTGCCAAGGTAAAATATAAACATTCTACAAAGTTTTACTAACAAATACTTGTTTGGTCGTACAATACAGATAAAGTACAAAACAGTACTTTGTTCCTAGTGGTCTTTCAGTTAACCAAAAATCTAAAAGTGTTGCATCAAGAAACAAAAAGTGTTGTTTTATCAGGGTGTCATAATGATGACCAATACTTATCCTGGTTTCATTGGATTATGCCAAAAGTAACATCATCCATTGTAAAGAATTTCATAAGTTGTTTGGCTAAATCTAATAACCCACCAAAAATTTTGAATTGTTGCCTTGAATAATGTATTTTAAAATACTCCAGAGGATTTCTTGCAAAACTCACTTACATGCACTTTGTGATACTAATTTAAGTTTTGCTGTTTCATCTTTGCATTCCATAGTGATATTCTATACAATTTTGCAACACTCTAAAAACTAATGTGCATAACTGAATTGCTGTAAAAATCTTTAAAAATTCAAGAGATTCCTCTGGTAAAAATTTTGAATTCTCTTCATTATTATCAGCAAGATTTTTGAGTTCAAATTAGCACTTTTTAATTTTTAACTAAAAAAATTTTAATATATCATCTTGAGTCTTTCTAATAATTTTTCAATTCAATACTTTCTAACTACAATATTTCAATTCAATACTTTCTAACAACAATATTTCAATCCGATACTTTCTTATTAATAATAGTTTAATTTATATAATACAATTAACTTATTACATGATAATAAGTTAATTGTAGAAGTGTGCTAGATTGATGCAGTAAAACATGATATATTATAAGACCTCTATATTTGAGAAAATGTTCAAAATCTTTCTTTACTTATCACAGTATAACTATGGGTATTAGAAATAAAAAAGATTGTTGTCCTTGACCTGCATTCTTCATTTTTAATAAGAGTATGACCTTGGTCTCATATAGTTTCAAATCTATATTATTGATTTTATTAACATTCTTACCTCTTAACACAGGGTAAAACCTCTTAAGTACTATTTGCTAATAATACAATCATATATTTCAATTTAAATAAATATATTTTAGTTTCATTGCCTTTTGATCACCTATAACTGGTACTGGCAACTAATCTTTTTCATGACAGTTTCTGAAGTTTTAATTAATTATACTTTTTATCTTTTACTACTACTATTTACAAAACTAGCTGTTAAACCTAACAAATGCTACTTTAATGCTACTTTAGCATTTAACTCATCTAACAAATGCTACTTTAGCATTTAACTCATCTAACTTTGTATGGAATACTGTTGTCATAATTATGGTGGACCTTCTAATGATGTTTATGTTTCATAACTGTAAAAAGGTTGAGCCTCTGGCACGTTGTTGCAAAGTTACATTTCTTTTTTCTTCTACTACCATAGTTTCTGTTAAAGCTATCATATCTTGTTCCACCAAAATTCAATTCATTTTGATTTGTTCCTCAACATAGTTGTATACTTTTATTGTAACTGTTCTTTCTTGTATTATTGTAACTGTTCCATTAGAAACTTTTTTTTATCTTGTGTTTTTCCATACTTATAAAATCGTTATACTTCAAAATCTTTATGGTTTCTTGACTCTGATAATTTACAGTTTTTGTCTTTTTTGCTTTTTAACTTCTTTGTTTCTTATTTTTATTTCTTAAAGATTTCTCTGCTCCCAACTTTTCTTCTGTTGAGTCTCACCTCTTGCAAAGTTCAACAGACCTGCTTGCTCATTGTGAGACTAGTTTGAGTTCAGCTGTCTCTTGTGATCTTAGTGTTGATGGTTATCTTCCTTTAATTTGTAAAGACTCCAATAGTCACATGCTTGGCCTGGGCACATACATATGTAAGAATTCACTTATTTGTCAGGAAACTAGATTTGAATCCACAGACTATTCTTTTATGCTTTTCTCTTTGTTCTGTATCGCTCTCCTTCATCTCAAGACTGCACTCTTTTTGATGCTATTTCTGATCAAATTGACCAAGCCCTCTTTATCCATCAGTCCATATTGTTATTGTTGATGACTTTAATCACACTTAATGGCTTGGCTCTAGTTTCAGTGACTCTGCTGGCGTTAAAGCCCTCAACATTTGCATTTCTTAATCCCTAACTCAAATAGTCAACTTTCCAACTGGCTTTCCAGACAACCCGAATCATTTCCCTCTACTAAACTTATGTCTTGTTTTTGTTCCTAGTCAGTGAACAGTTTCTCCACATTCATCCTTAGGTGCTTCTGATCACAGTTTGACCTCTCTAAAACTATTATCTCATTCTTCTTCATTATCTGAATTCCCCTATCATTGTACCCCTTACAACTATCTTGAAAAAAGCTGATTAGGACTCTTTCCATTATTTTCTTCGGAATGGCCATTGGGTAGAAATATTTCATTTTTCTGCTGACAAATGTGCTTATTACAAAATTCCATGCCAGCCTGAATCCTTTGTGGATTCTAGCTGCCATGGAATCTTTATTCCCTCTCAAAGATTCGAGGTTAAGCCTTGTTCTTCTCCATGGTTTTCCTTTTTATCAATAGCCCAAGCCTCTCTGCCTCCATCTAATGCAGGATAAAATCTTTATTCACAGCAAGTCAGCTCTAGAGTGAGAGAATTGAAAACCATATTGATTGTCCGACAGTAAGTTATTTGGCTCAAGATGATATGTGAGAAATTTGTTGATCAATGACTCAAAGACCTTGCTAATAACAGAAAATGGGGTCAGAATGTTCACAGGAGTTTTTGAGTATTAAAACAACAAATGCCATTCTTCAGCACGCAGAAAAACAGGACTCAGTCAAGAATTTATTAAATAGTTTAGGGAGAATTGAAAAGTGTTCAAGAGAACAATTTTCTAAGGCTATGAACAATTTTGTAAGGCTATGAACAATTATGCTATAACAGGAAAGTTGTCTGTACCACAAGCCATAAAAGAGTTTATTTGAGGTAAGAATTTAGTAACAAAAGCTGGAGTGATTTGAATGTCTAACAATGGGTTAACCTGTTTAATTGGAGTTGAAGGAAGAGAATGGCCATAAGATTCAAGATTCGAGTTAAAAGAAAAGTTCTTTACAGTTCTCCCTTATTTTTGGTTAAGGTAATAAGATCAATCCCATGAATAAGAGATGGAGTGTTATACCTACTCTTGTTAATAACACTGTTGAAGATATTTCAAAAGTCTCTATAGCCTAATTTCTGAGATATGATAGTTAATTTAGTAAACTGAGAATAATGAAGCATAGCATCAGACAGCACCTTTTTACATTGATTTCTTCCAATAGTAAATAGCCTTTTGTTCTCAAGAGAGTAGTATTTTGAAAAAAATTAGATATAGCAGCTGCACAAAATATGAAAACCATGGAGTAGAATGGGGTTTGACTAGGAACAGTACCACTACACCACTACCACATAGAGATTATGTAAGGGGTGTAGTTATCAGTTGAGGGATGAAAGACATCAGTCTAAGACTGTCACAAAGTAAATCACAAAAAGAATCCCAGTCAGTCTTAAAGTGGTAGGAACTGACAATTTGAGTCTGAAGAAGAAGATAAAAGTTTTAGAGAGATCATAGCATAATCTGAATCGCCTAAAAGTGTACAAGAAGAAGCTGAGCACAAGGGTCAGAGACAAAACACAAATTAAGTAGCAAAGGTAAATGATTAGATTTGTCTATAAAATGAGTCATAAAGTAAACTATCTGACTAAGAGATTAAGAAATACAAAAGGTATGAGCTTTGTTGCAAGCAGAGTCAGTGATGTCAGAACCAACCCATTCACTTCTCCTAGCCTTTTTCTGTGGGTTAGTTATTCTAGCATAGAATACAAGCAGTTTTTTCTTTAATTAGCTGCATTATTGATACTAAAGTTGACATTATATTGTTAATATTCTGATACATATTCAGTATATTGTTAATAATCTGATAAACAACTCAAACTTATTTTACCATTTTTTAACTATATTTTTCTTTTTTTAAAATAAACACAAAAATTCAAAAAACTTATAATCAGATAGCTGCTAGCCAAAAAAAAAAAAAAAACTTTTAAAATCTGTATTAAAAATGGAAGTTCAGGCTAATATATTTTTAAATTTTTTTTTGATAAAAAATATTATTAAATGAAGTTTAGGTCATCTTATATTTCTTTAATTTTTTTCAATAAAAAATGTTAAATGAAGTTTAGGCTATCATATTTAGATGAAATTCAAATTATTGTCTTTTAAAAGTCATGAGGATTATCTTCTGCTTACATTCATGCTTATAACATTTATGTAAAATTATATATTTTTAAAAACTTCCTTTATTTTGAAGCATAATATAATAGAACAATGTAATCATTTTTTTTTAATTTTTTGTTTTGGCTAGCATCTGCTTTTTTTGAATAAATAACAATAATGCCAGATAATCCAAGAAGATATAAGTTAGAATATTTAGCAAGCATGTTGCCATTCATCAGTATTTATTAAAACATTATTTCAATAATTATTAAAGGGATCCCA